TAGATTGTATTTCTTCTGTTTGTTTTGTTGGACAGTCAAAGTTTGGACTCAAGTGAAGTTTCCACTCATTCAATTTTCAAATATTCTTGGATGTGGCCTGAGTTTTTATCCTTTCTATGTCTTGTTATTTCCATGTATTCTGTCTTATCTTGATACCCAGTCAAATTTTTTTACCGCTTCCTTTAGGGGAGTTAGTGTTTTTAACTCCCAAGTTCATCTTCTCCATTAAATCAATGCAATCTGCATAACCAAGTATTCTAGTAATTTTCCTACAGTATGATCTTCTTTTACTGTCATTATTTTCTCTTGGACCAAGTTGAAAAGAAGCTGGGACACGGCATCACTTTATTAGTCTGCTGAACTTTTCATACATAGGACAGTTATAGGCATTCTGTGTGGTTTTTTCACTGGCCCAGAAATAAAGCATTTAAGAGGTTTTCCGTTGACTGTGATAACTAAGTGCCATTAACAATTTAGAAAAGATTTATTATCTGCCTCATAACTTCTGTTTTCTCTAACCACATACCAACATATTATTTACTAACTCATAAAATAACTAACTTGTTATATTTTAACAAGAATGAAAAAAAAAGAGTTATTTAGCTAATAGTCAGCATGCTTAAAATTCTGTTTAGATGTGTGTGAATGTTTAAATCATATAATTAATTACAAGAAGCCCGAGGGTCATGTGTTGATCTATCTATCCTTGCTGCATTATTTTAAATTATCACTAGACAGCTAAGTGCTCAAAGCAATAATGGTGTGGATTAAAAGGATACACAACAATTTTTAGCTAATTTTTTTTTAAGTACCTAGTTTCTACTTTGTAAAATACAAGTTTAATTAATCACTAGCCTAAACTTGGCTGATTCTTGAGTATTTGGGATTTCTATAAATTCTCATAAAAAGTAGTCATCCCAAGTGTATTCACTTTGTTTGGTCTGGCATGTAACAGAATTAGATTTAGAAGTTTAATCAACACCTTGTAGTCAAAGTTGATGCTGGATAATTAATTAATATTCTACGTCCGAGAATCCTATATTTAAAACTTACCAATAATATAACGAAAATCTGCAAAGAAAATGTGAGATAATTCTAAGACATCTAATTGATGTTTTTAATGACACATTATGTAAATAAATAAATAAAGGATCTGTATGAGAACAGTTAAAGAAATTGAAAAAAAAAAAAAAAAAAAAAATGTTAAAAAATGAGAGGAAAATGAATTAAAAGAAGTTTAAGGTCTGAACACAAAAACAGTACCATCACAGTAACTTAATTAACAAACAACCACAAAGAACTTAACCACTGTACATTCCAAAGTACTTGATGTGTACCAAAATGAAACTTTTTTGATTGTCCAAAACAAGGTTCTTACACAAATTTCCTTTCTCACACCTAGATAAATTAAACCTTTGCAGGCAACATAACAAAGAAATCACAAACATATGCTGCTACCAATACATGACAAAGCCCTTCCCCAACCTCCCCAAATGCACTTAGTTTAAACAGAAACACCTATATATATTCTTTATTTTATCTTCACATTCACAGCAGAAAGATTCATTTCACTAGCTGCAATAGCAACACACACAAAACAGACATATTTTGCATGTACTGTGCTGCATTTCCTGGCTTTAAAACTGTTTGTAAGTCAGTAAGTTGACAAATACAGGTGCTTTAAGTTATAAATATAGTGCTGGCACAACTACTATAGACTTTAATATACACTACTGATGTCAATATGTGTCAGTCAGTGGGTGAGACAGAAAGGTGGAATATGAGGAAAGCCATTTGTGTGTGTGTGTGTAAACATTTGTGTATATGCATATTTCACCTATTCATTACATGGAATAAAATAACACATACATATAAGCATTTACACACCACAGATACACATACACACAAGTACATAAATACACTTAATAAAAGCCAGCAAAAAAATGTATTAAAAATAATTTTGCCATATTTGTTTTATGTATGAATACTTTTTTATCCATGTTACATGAATGTTATAAAACATCACACTGATGTGACGTACAGGTGCAGTAACTAGTTAAGATGTCATTTTTAAAACTGACTCATATTTAGGTCAGAAAAACATCTGTACATCTGCTGAGAATAAATCCCAATGAGCTACTAGTTTGTGCCTACAATAAAAAAAGCCCTAGTTGTACAGCTAGAGGAAGTACAAGAATCTGAAGGATAGATGGATGTATACCTGCAACATAGATGCTGGAGGCTTGCCTTCTGGTCTAAAGGTCTTGGGTTTTAATCCATGGTAAGGCAGATATTTGTTTTATAATTCCAAGAAAATACTATAGGAAGAAAAGATGGCTGGCTTTGATTGTGACCACACACCCACAATGTGCCACCAGATCTAAAACAATTTAGGTCTAGTGCTACATGCCTGATGCATTTGTGAAATTATAAGAACCCTATTTTCAAAGGTGTCTTAAATAAACAATAGACTTAACAACAAAAATATTGTATGTAGCTGGTCCGGCTCAAGATCAACAACATCGAATGTGAACCTGTCATCATTCATATGTTTTCTTTGACCCTGAGAGTAATGCCATGGTTACCAGCAGGGTATCTCAAACCAGACAGATCAAAGGGTAGAGAATAGACAAACAAAGACACCCTGGTCCTCCACACTGGGGGCTGAGGCAACAACCATACCTTTATAAAACCTTATGTTACAACATAAAAAGATGAAAGCTTTATTGCAAACTTTTGAGAACAGTCTTACAGAACATCTTTGGATCCATCAAAAATTAAAATACTGTAGTACAGAATAAAGAAAGGGAAAAAGTGAAGTTCATAATCTGTAGTTCATCATTAATTATAGGCCTCATGAGGGTGTGACTGGAAAACTCAACAGACAAGACAACAGAGCTTCTAAACATAACATGAAACCAAGAAATACACAAGGGAAAGGGGTGGGGATGGGATGGACATGGGCAAAATATAAACAAGTAAAATAAATTAAATAAAGTTCAATATAGCTATGTCGAATAGTAATCCTTCCAGGGCTGAGAATGCTGAAACTGAATTAAACGATTTTCTAAGGCGTAGCTTGATCACCGGAGCAAGATTTTATAGTAGTAATTGAGATATCGATTAAGCCTTGGTGGTCAGAACTGTTAAAATGCAGCCTTATAAAAAATATCTTTAAGATGTTCATGGAAATTATCTGCTAGCTTCCTGAAATGTTTCTACTTCTGGAAGAATTTCATATTTCTGCTGATTTCAATTATAAAGTGATATTCAATATAATAAGTTAGCATTTAAAGGCATTAGGGGAAAACTTTGATAATTATTTCCATTAAAATGAGGATCGTTGTTGAGATAACTTTGAATTAATAACCCCTTCTTTTAAGATTTTTGAAAAACCAAAAAGCTGAACTACACTGTATAGAAAGTTACTCCTTGTGTGTCCTACCACAGAAAACTTGACCTCTTAAGAGGTGAGGTATTAACAGAGGGTGACAACAACACCTTCTCTTCTATTACTTTTTATTCAAGCAGTATAATAACAACTGAGCTACATATATTGTACATTAATTGGAATCCCTAAATTTGTAGTAATATTCACACTCTGACAATGAGCAAAACATTTAGTAAATCAACATATGCAGGTAAAGCAATAGCAGACATTATGGGAAGATAGGAAGGGAGGGAGAGGCAGGACAGAAAGAGTCAGACCAAATTTTCTTTTGAAGAAAGGTTAACTATATATATAAATATATAAAACCAAGCAGGCTGGCATGCATCCTTATCCAGAATTACCACAGTATAGCAAGTAATGTTTGGTTATATGCAGGGCAAACAAAATAAATATGTATATGGACACACACACACACAAATTAGATGTTCTAGCAAACAATACAAGGAAACTTTATTTTTTCACAACAGCAACAATCATTTCATAACCTAGATACCAAAGAGACATTCTTCAACATTAGTAACACAGGTAAATATAAAACAAACTGGAATGAAATGTACCTAATTACAATAATATGATGCACATAGGGAATATGATGACATAAATTGTACAACATTAAAATTATGAAACAGCATTCACTCACAATCTATATATAATACTGCAACATGCTAAGTTTATTTAAAATTGTGCATTGACTGTAGGTATACCAGAACAGTAGAAACTAACAGTCCATGTAATGTGTATTACACAGGAAATTGTGTTGGCTACAACTGGAATGCCACCAGTTTGAGAGCTGGTCATTGTATCACCTTCAAGGTAACCAGTCATTAAACAGGCACCTGACTTTGCTCTAGCCAGGAAAGGAACATGGCAGGCCTTCACATATTCTAGGACAGGACATGTGAGGAGTAATTGTTTGTAGATGTTCCTAGAGAAACTCCTGAATATTCTGTATTTGTTCACACATGTTCCTAGGAGACCAAGCTGGTCTATAATCCTTCATACTAAGATGGAAAATATGTGTTTGCAGATGGGCAGCTCTGCCCAATGGTCATTAGTTTGTAGAGACAGAGTACTGATTTGACCTAACCTCTCATCCAATACCGAAGTTAAATTAACTACTGCAGACTAGTTAAATTAACTACTGCAGACTATGAAACAAGGCTCTGAGGCTTTACAAGACAGCTAGGATTTACTAGCAGCAACCGCCTGATTGTTTCAATATCCCCAAGTATAAGATTACCTTTAATAAAGCTCACTTTAATCAATATGGATGAGATAGATATCTATAAAGACTATGATAAACAATAGTGGATATGAACCAACAGAATCAAAATAAAACTTAAATGAAGATCCAAAAGAACAGTGAACACAGAGGAATTGAAACAGACTATTCACAGCGAATAAAATTATGAGACAGCTGAAAAGTAAGATCAGTAAATACATTAATGAAGTGCTTGAAAAAAAAAAGTTTAATAGAAATTATTGTTACAGATCATTTTAAGCAAAAGAAAGAATTTCAAATTATGGCACAACATATTGTTTCGCATACCATTAGGAAAGATCTTCTGCAAAAAACCTGACTTTGATTTATCCGCAACTGGTTTCCCATCTCCATCTTGCTGACTGCATCTTGGCCCATTAGTGCAGTCAGTAAAATACATCAGAACAAACACATCAAGCATAATCCATACCATAGATGTTGCAATAATAACCTATAAGAAAAGGAAAAAGAATGTTGACATATAATACAGCTTTATATGTGAGACAAATCAATTTATAACACACTAAACAGCATGTGTGTGTTACAATGAGCAGATTAACAAAAAGAGTTTAAGAGAACAGAAAGCCCACGATAAAAAAAAAAACTGTTGTCTATCAAGGTTCTGTTCTCAGCACTCTTCTGACCAAATTCATGTCAACAATGGTGTTACCTTGATAATTGTTCAGACTACACACCTAGGTTGGAAAAAATTATAGCAGAAGGCATGGTACCAGGAAGGAGGGGCAGGGGCCGACCGACACGAAGAGGGGCACAGATTATAAGTGACTCCTTGAGTGAAAGTGTATGAGGTGGGAGAACTGGCGAGAGACCGAGTTTCTTTCAGGCAGACTGTGATGAGAGTGACGTTCTGCAAAAGACCTGCTACATGATGGCTCACCCTAGACATTTGTTCAGACTACTCACCCTAGATAATTGTTCAGACTACTCACCCTAGATAATTGTTCAGACTACTAACCCTAGATAATTGTTCAGACTACTCACCCGTGATAATTGTTCAGACTACTCACCCGTGATAATTGTTCAGACTACTCACCCGTGATAATTGTTCAGACTACTCACCCTTGATAATTGCTCAGACTACTCACCCTTGATAATTGTTCAGACTACTCACCCTAGATAATTGTTCAGACTACTCAACCTAGATAATTGCTCAGACTACTCACCCGTGATAATTGTTCAGACTACTCACCCTAGATAATTGTTCAGACTATTCACCCTTGATAATTGCTCAGACTACTCACCTTAGACATTTGTTCAGACTACTCACCCTTGATAATTGCTCAGACTACTCACCCTTGATAATTGCTCAGACTACTCACCCTAGATAATTTTTCAGACTACTCACCCTTGATAATTGCTCAGACTACTCACCCTAGATAATTGTTCAGACTACTCACCCTAGATAATTTTTCAGACTACTCAACCTAGATAATTGCTCAGACTTCTCACCCTAGATAATTGTTCAGACTACTCACCCTTGATAATTGTTCAGACTACTCACCCTTGATAATTGTTCAGACTACTCATCCTTGATAATTGTTCAGACTACTCACCCTTGATAATTGTTCAGACTACTCACCCTTGATAATTGTTCAGACTACTCAACCATGATAATTGTTCAGACTACTCAACCATGATAATTGTTCAGACTACTCAACCATGATAATTGTTTTCAGACTACTCACCCTAGACATTTGTTCAGACTACTCACCCTAGATAATTTTTCAGACTACTCACCCTAGATAATTGTTCAGACTACTCACCCTTGATAATTGTTCAGACTACTCACCCTAGATAATTGTTCAGACTACTCACCCTAGATAATTGCTCAGACTACTCACCCTTGATAATTGTTCAGACTACTCACAACTTAGGAAAATTAATAATCATCATCATGTAGCAGGTCCTTTGTAGAACCTTGCTGTCATCACGGTTTGCCTGAAAGAAACTTAGTCTCTCGCCAGCTCTCCTGCCTCGTGTACTTTCATATTCAATGAGTCTCTTATATCATGTGTGCATCTTTGTGTTGGTGGGCCCATGCCCCTCCTTCCTGGTAACAGGCCTTCTGCTATTATTTTTTTCTAATCCACCATGGTGCTCGATATGACCAAAATATTTCAGCATCTGAGCCACTCTTTCTCGACTCTCAGATCTTTTAAAATCTCAGTATTTATCTTCTTTGTCCACAGTATTCTGAGAATCACTCTATAGCATTTCAGCTCGAAAGCCAATATTTTGCTTCTTAAGGACTGGGAGATAGACCACAACTCACATCCGTATGCTGCTCAGGAAAGATGCATGCTCTCAAAAATGTAATTTTGATTTCTTCGATGGTAATTTACCACATAAATTTAATGCTGTTTAATCTTTGCATTACACTAGACGAGATGAGGTTGCAAATACAAGCATTAGAGAAAAAGTTGGAATAAGATCTCATGTCTTGATTATACTGACAGACAAAGAAAGAAATGGTTCAGCCATCTAGTGAGAATGAAGCTAGACCAGACTGCATATGAGAATTTTTACAGCAAAGCATCTGTGAGGAAGGCGAGAGGAAGACCAAGAAAGACACAGACAAATTGTGTCGACAAAACCTGCAAAAAGATTAATAAATCCATCACTCAAGCCACAGAGAAGTGCAAGACAAATACAGAAATCTATGACACTGGGCACCTGGTATTAGTAAGACGACAAAAGAAGAAGAAGAATCTCTGCACTGCTATGGCCATCCTCCTGATTTCTGCCAAACAGTCCCTACTGCTACTTATTACAGAGCCTAGATATTCAAAGTTTGTGACATTTTTCAATTTCTTCATCATTTATTTTTATTTTTTGGGTGACAGCCAAATAAATAGGAACAAAATAATCTTACAAAATTATTATAAGATTGTGCATTACACCATGATGCATGCATTTTCAGTGAAAGAATTCTCAAGATCTATAATGAGTGAACACTGATGTACAGTAGTGAAACACTGAAAATCAACAGATTGTCCAAAAGCTGCACAGGGGGTGGTTTTATAGAAGAACAATATGAACATCAAGGACAAGGAAAAAGCACATACCATTTTTATTTTATAAACTGGACACTTTTCAAACTACATTGGACGTTTTCAAAACAGACAGCGATTTTAAATCTGCTCAGGACATTTTTCAAATAAGACTGGATGGTTTCCAAACTTCCATGGACATTTTTTAAACCACCCAGAATGTTTTAAGTCAAACTGGATGATTTTTAAATCAGCCAGGACATTTTTCGAATCAGACTGGATGGTAAATGTTGACCCACTGACCACTGTTATACATAATTATCTACAGATGTGACTTTAATTTTGGTGGCACATTACATTAGTCTTCATTTACCAGAAACATGTAATTCTACAAAAAGGACGATAATGGGGGGAAACGATTTAAAAGGAGGTAAACTATAATAAATTAAAGTTCAGAAACAATTTATGAGGTGTTTATGTTAACATAACAACAGATAATTATTTTTTTGAAAAAGAAGGAAGAAATATGGATGCTAATCTTTGTGTGTTTTATCAACTTTATATGTTATATATATATAAACTGTGAAGTCTTTGACACTGCTGATAAGGAATCTCTCTAGAGGTTGATAAACACTGGGTTTAATCAGATGTTAAATAATGTGATGCAGGAAAATGCTGATTTAATTTCTAATTGTTATATCAGAATTAAACTGGTTTGAATTAAACCTGATTAAGTAACTGGAAATTTATCTTGGATACAGTAACAACAAAAACTTCAGAACAACAGCATGCTGTAGATGAGAAAAAAACATTAGAATCATGGGTACATGGAAGGTAACAGACAGTGTCAGTACTGTGTCTACAATACTTTTGGCCTTCTGTTCAGCTTTCTGTCTTCCAGCTATTATGTTCATAGTCCATGATACCATAATAATTTTAAATAATATATATCATATTTACACATGTAAAGGCCTCACCCAACTTCTGAGATGACAATTTTAGGAAAAATAATTATCTTAGAATTTCGTAAAGAGACAAAAACCGAAAACAGTAGTACCCTTGAGTGGTGAAATCTAGGCCACCAAAAAACAAGCTACAGTTGTAAATTCAAGTTGCAAGAAAATGGAAAGCAATGCTGATCACACCTGACCTGCATTAACTTTAGAGCTCTAGTCAAAGAAAGAGCCGTTCTAAAGCTGACAAATTTGTCCTTATCACGAATAATATTGAAATTATAAGGAACATTACCAGGGGTACTTGTAAAACTGAATTAATCACATTCATGCATTAAAAATGATTTTGTAACTGGATTACTTGACCTACCTTGCAGTACTGAAAACGTACTCTTGCTATCTTCATTTTTTGTGGCTTATAAACCCAGTAACAATGTAGATTTGTTAATAACCTGAAAAATACGGATAGATGTGTGAGTAACTTTACTAAACAATGACTACAGTTAACATCAAAGTTGTTTTCAAGGACTAAAAGAAAATCTCAAAATATTTTACTTACAATTCAATATTGAGAGAGAATGAGAGAGGGATGGAGAAGTTAAGCATATAACTTTTGCCTAGCTGTGAAAACTTCTATTTTCCTTTGTGCAACAATGCCCAACATTTCCACTTAGGATTTTAACATGGACGTTATTATCACTGACAGAACAGGGAAGAAATGTGATGCAATATTTAAAAGGCACTGTTGATGATATCTGAGTGTTGCAAGGATACACGATCCAAATTTCAATCAGATAAAGCAAGTGCAATGTGGAGTCCCCCCGAATAACTCAACAATAAAGGCTGACTTCTTAAAGTCCATGCTGAGTGGCGTTGATAGTCATGACTATCCACAACCTTCTGTCTAATGTACTTTCAATGAACTCAGACGATCTTCCATGTCATGATGTCAAACTGTTCAGCATCTTCTCTCTGACTCCCTCTGCCTCTTTAACTTTCCTATTGTCATGATGTACTCCAGTTTTCTCTTCCTCATGACATGACCAAAGAATATAGACTGTCACTTTCCGTTGTGGGCAATAAGTTCTCTTTGTGAGTTAGTTTCTTTCAAGATATCTCAATTACTCTAGCGCTGACCTATTTGACAGCATTTTAAAGGAACAGATTAGTCGCCTATGTGTTACCATGACCTTCAGAGAAACAAAACACCCAGCAATGCATCCTCCTATGAGGCGATGAGGGCTTGATTACTCAGAAAACACACAAAAAAACGCTTCATTAAACAAACGATAATCAGCCAACCAAGATGGCAACAGGCTGCTTCTATAAGAATTACAAAGTGGTAAAGTAAGGAGAAAGCTGAAAGTAGTCTGGAATGCAGATAAATAAAAAAAATCTCTAGAATTAGCACCTTGAATATTAGAACTAGATAGGAGTTGGGGAGGACAGTGGAGGTGGTCAGAAGAAATGAAACATTCTAGCATTAGCATTTTTAGATTAGGAAAAAAAACAAAATACAGTGGAGCAGGTAAAAATATAAATATGAGAGAAATATTTTGTCATAAGGTCACATAAAAGAAAGTGCCTGCCCCCACAGTGAAAGAGTGACCCTAAGAAGAGGCAGAATAGACATTAATAGATTGAGAAGCAGTAAGTCCCACAATAATATCCTCATCATCATCAGGTGCCTTGCCGACTGGTGTGGCCGATCATGCTTCTCCATAATCTGCGATCTCCTGCAGCATGTATCAGTTCATGTGCCGACACACCTCCATGCCATGCAACAAGACTGTCAAGCATCTTATCTCATTGTCTTCCTCTATCCCTTTTTCCACAGATCTTTCCAGTGGTCACAACATGTTCTATTTTCCCTCTTCTCATAACATGGCCGAAAAATGAGGACTGTCTCCTTCTGATGTCTGTGATAAGTTGTCTTCGGGCTCCCGCCTCTTTCAAAACCTCTTGGTTGCTCTTTTTGGCTGTCCAGGGTATTCTAAGCATTCTTCTGTAAAACCACATCTCTGAGGCCTCTAAAAATTGTTTGGCCTGCCTACCGATTGTCCAGGATTCACATCCATATGTTAAAACTGGATGTATGAAGCAAGCAAGAATTCTTTTTCTAACTCTCAATGACAAGGATATATTGCACAAGATGTTTTTCATTTTATAAAATTCAGTTTTTGCCTGTCCAATTCTATTTCTTATTTCAGTTATGCATCTTCCATCTGATGTTATCCATGTTCCCAGATACTTAAATTTCTGTACTTGTCCTAAAATAAAACCATTGACTTTTATTACACATTTAGGAATAATTAGTTTCTTTGATACCACCATTACTTCTGTCTTCCCATTATTCAAACTGAGGCCCATTCTTCCACTTTCTAACACCACAATGTCTATCATTTCCTGTAATTCTTTCTGACTTGTTGCTATCAAGACTGTGTCATCAGCATAACGCAAATTGTTTATATTGTGCCCACCAACCACAATTCCGGGCATATCAATTAAAGATCTCATTATATATTCACTGTATATTGAAAAAAATCAGGTGAAAGTAAATATCCTTGTCGTACGCCCCTCTTTATGCTTTAAAATGTACCTAAACAGTTGTTTATTCTTATAGCTGCTGTATGCTGCCAATACATATTCTTTATTATTCGTAGATCTTTCCCATCAATGTTTAATTTTTCTAACAGTTTGATTACTCCTTCATGCTTCACACAGTCAAATGCTTTTGTATAGTCTATGAAGCATAAGTACAAATCAGTCTTTACTTTATATAGCTCTTTCTGACAATGTCCTTAGGATGTATGTGGCATTGTTTGTACCTTTCCCTTCTAAAAATCCACATTGTTCGTCACTGATTTCTGGTTTAATTTTGTTTCTTATTCTTCTCATAATTATTCTCAGTAAAATCTTAGTCATGTGACTCATAAGACTTATTGTGCGATGGTCTTCACTTTTTAAAGTGCCTGGTTTCTTTGGCAGAGCTATAAATATGGATTTTAAAAGGTCATTTGAAATATACCCACTATTATAAATTTCATTTAAAAGTTTAGTTATTATTTCAATTCCAAAATTTCCCAGTGCTTCGATTTCTTCCAGTGAGATGTTGTCTGGCCCGGGTGCTTTTCCTTTTTTCATATGATGTATTGCATCCTCAACTTCTGCAGTCATTATTGGTGGACCATCATTGTTGGTCTGCAGTTCTACGTCTGGTCTATTATCATCATACAATTCCCCTAAATACTCTGTCCATCTGTTAATTATATTACTATGCCCCATTAATAAGTCACCATCTTTTGATTTCAAACATCCAGTGCTGTTACATGTCATCTTTCCTGTTAACATATTTATCTGTTGGTACATGGAATGTGAGTCTTTCCTGTGATTTTCCCCAATCTCTGTATACAATAACAAGAATTTGGAAATAACAAAGACAAAACAAATTGGGGAGTGGGGGAGGGATCCAGTGTTACGTGTTTTGTACCAATAGATGAAAAGAATGTATCATTTAAGGGGTGATTTTATATGTAACAGGCAACAAAAGAAAGGGCAATATACAAATTTTGATTGGCAACCTGCATGCCAAGAAATCATCTGAAACTACAGGTTATTAGAGATTTATGGGGAAAACACAGACAATGGGGTCATCATCAAGTGCCTTTGCAGACATGAGTGTGCCCCTCCTAATTTGCTATCATGTATCATGTGCTGACACCCTTCTATGCCATGACAAAAAGATTGTCAAGAATCCTCTTATGCTGTATTTATCTCTCTTTCCATAAATTTTCCGGCTGTCACATGTACCACTGTATTTCATCACAGAACGTAGCCATGAAATTTTGACTGTCTCTTTCTGATGTCTGTGATAAGTCTACAGGTTTTTGTTTCTTTCAAAAACATCTTGCGGTGTAAACATACTTACTGACACCATCCGTTGATATGTGAAATTAGGATAAAACTGAAATGATTTATAACATCATAGTCACAGAAACCTCTACAATGTAGGATATCTCATGAATAAAGAAATTAGGGAGCACTTTATGGTCTCAAATGAGTAACAGAAGCTGAATGATGTACAACAGTCAGTTGAAAGAGTGAGCACTGAGGACTGCTGGCAACATGTTAAAACCATCTGGAATTAATCAGATGTTTAAGATACGGATAAAAAGTAACAGAAATATAAGTTACTGATAATAGCCATAACTCTTAAAGCTGAAGAATAAAAAAGCAAGACAGCAGACTAAGTTAAAAAAAAAAAAATTTTTAAACTAGAGCTTATACAAGCTAATAAGGAAGTTAGAAGATCGATAATGACGGATAGCAGAAAATATTCAGATGACACCACAGAAAAGGCAAAGAGAGCAGCAGCCAAATGAAACCTCAGAGATCTTTGCAGAATCACATAAAAATTAACAGGAAAATACAATGAACTGAATGGATCAATCAAAATTGGTCATGAAAAGTTTTCACCAACATTAAAGGTCACATTAACATATGAAGGGAATACTCTGAATAACTGAATATGCCAGCCCCAACAGCCTTCAGATGTGGAGCTCGATATCAAATGAAGAGAAAATGAGGAAAGCCATCAATGTAAAGAAGGTTGGAAAAGCTGATGTTCAGATGACGTCCCAGTATAAACTATAAAGGCGAACATAATATAAACACATTTAAAGAATTGTTGCATAAATTATTTTCTGAAGATTTGGAGACGTCAAAAATGCCAGGTGACAGGTGAAACTGAAACACACAAAAAAAAAAACTATTCTATTTATTTTGCCCATCTGCAGTTTCTGGTATTTTCACAAATCATGCTCTGGCATCTTCCTCTTCTTTCATTCGCATGAAATTGATTATCTATATCTGCAATTCTATCTCTAGTACAAACTTCACTGTCTGTTATAAACCAATCAGCAACCCGTAAAGTTTGGCTTACACTGGTATTTCTTGTGGCCAAAAGTTTTGCCTTGACTATTTCATTCTACACACATCAGACCATCTAAAAGATTGCAAAAGTGTTGTTAATTGGGCAAATTGTCAAACTCAATGTCAGTTTTTAATTGGTTGGCTGAACAAGAGCTAGTCGAACTTGAAAGCCTAGATGATGAAACATCGATCAAGTACGGCATGGAAATAAATGTAGAAAAGATTAAAGTAATGACTAATAATCCAGCTGGCATAACTACACTAATGTCCATTATAGGTCCCAAGTGAGAACAGGTCAATAATTTCAAATATTTAGGACCCATTTTAAATGACCTAGGGTTCAGATCAAAAATCATGTCTAGGAATGCCCAGACAATATTAGTCCTTGCCAAACAGAAAATATTATGGAAATAAAAAAACAATTCATGTAAAACTTAACTACACTACACATAAGTACATTAACATATGGCTGTA